CAGAATATAACACAAACTCAGATCGCAATAGATAATACCTCCAATGACGAAGAGCTTGTACCACAGCGTAAAACTCTTTGTCATATGTAGAGTATCGTTGTTTAGCTTCATTGAGTTTTTCACTGACGTAAGCAATAAGATGACCCTTTTGACTCAAAACTCCACCTATCCCTACACCAGATACATCACAGGCAACCTCAAACACCTTAGAAAAATCTGGATGTCGAAGAACGGGTGCCTCTGTCATCCTGTGCTTAATTTTTTGAAAGGCTCTAGTTACAGCAAGTGTCCATTGAAACTCCCCTTTTTTTCATGCACTCTGTGATGGGAGCCATAATGAAACTAAACCCTTTAATAAATCGTCTATAGAAGGTGGTCAAACCATAAAAACTTCGAACCTCATAAATTGTTCTTGGCACTGGTCAATCCCTAATAGCACGAATTTTCTCTGGGTCAACTGCAATACCATGCGCAGAAATAACAAATCCAAAGAAAAGCACTTGAGTTTGCATAAAAGAGCACTTCTTAAGGTTCGCATAGAATTTTTTCACACGTAATGTCTGCAAAATCTGTCGAAGATGATCAAAATGCTCTTCTTTAGACTTACTATAGATCAAGATGTCATCAAAGTAAAACAACCACAAATTTTCCTAGGAAAGAACGCAGTATTTGAGTCATAACCCTCATAAATGTGCTAGGTGCATTAGACAATCCAAAAGGCATGACCAACCACTCATAAAGTCCATCCTGGGTTTTAAATGCGATTATCCATTCATCTCCTAGTCTAATTCGAATTTGATGATAACCACTGCGCAAATTAATTTTGGAGAACCAAAGTGCACCGGCCAAAAGGTCAAGCATATCTTCAAGTCTCGGTATAGAAAATTGATATTTGACTATAATTTTGTTAATAGCACGGCTATCAACACACATTCTCTAAGAACCATCTTTCTTAGGGGTCAACAAAGCAGGGACAGCACATGGACTAAGACTATGACGAACAGACCCTTTTTGCAACAGTCCATCTACTTGCCTTTGGAGTTCAGCACGCTCAGTGGAATTCATACGATAATGGGAAGATTAGGCCATTGAGATCCTAAAACTAAGTCAATAGCATGTTGAACATCTCTCATTGGTGGCAACTCATCGGGTAGTTCCTCAGGAATCAAATCATGGAACTTTCTCAATAGACTATCAACCTCAGGCAAAAGAGCGTCTTTAAATTTCAGAGGACTTTGAACAACTTCTTTGACAACTAGAGCTACCATTATATCAGACTCTTTTCTTTCTTTCTCAATTTCTCTATGGGTCAAGATGTGAAGGTCTTTCTTATGAATTACTTGGGAAGATGACCTATGCTTTGAAGTATTACTTTCTGAGGGTTTCGCAGGTTTTAACTTAATGGGTTTCCCCTTATGCTTAAAAACATAGGTATTTTTCTTCCCATAGTTTGTCACATCTAAATCAAAAAGCCACGGGCGACCCAACAAGACATGAGCAACATCCATAAGTAAGACATCACACCATATATGATCTGAATAGTCACCCATCTGAATAGGGACCAAACATCTATGTGAGACTGGTAAGGAGGTCTTGTCAACCCATGCGACTTTTTAAGGTTGTGGGTGTGTCTCTGACTTAAGCTGCAACTGAGCTACAGCTGATTTAGAGATGACATTCAATGAATTTCTCCCATCAATGACGACCTTGCAAACTTGACCCCCACATCGGACTAGAGTATGAAAAATGCTGGTGCGTTTCCATGCTGTTGTGTCTGAAGGGTTGGATAAGATACATTGCATCACACTGACTCGGGTGTCATCGGTTTGCCACTCTTACTCACCCTCATCTAGTAACTCTAAGGGTTTCTCATCCAAAAGATCAACTTCTAGGTTAACATCCTCTCTGTCAAGTGAATTCTCTAATCCCTGGTCAATGGTCAAGGTACACTGAGGGCACTGTGAAGCAATATGACCCTTGCCATGACAACGGTGACACTCTATGGAAGAATTGTCCTGGCGAGAACTTGTGAGTGTAGAATCTCAACTCCTAGTAGTATTACCTCTCAAGTTGGGATAATTGTTACCCCTGGATGTGACAGGGCCTGACTGGGTGACGCCTCGAGACCGATCAAATAGGACTGACTTTGATGGTTGAGATACTCCGATTTGAGAAGGCATTCGACGCTGAAAGGGTGGCCTAAGGTATTGTTCAATCTCTAAGGCTTTATAATATGCTTCCTCAACCGTTTAGGAGAGTGTAAGTTAAGCTCTCTCTTAATCTCAGGTCGTAAACCATTAATGAATTTTGTAACTGTTACCCAAAACTCTTCATTTATGTCACATCTCAAAAGAGCTCTTCAAATCGAGCTAGTTAATAAGTCACACTCGAGGTTAATTGATGCAAGTTCATCCACTTGTCCAAGAGTTGGCGTTTATAATAACTAGGGAGATATTTATCTCGCAATCTTTGATTCATCTCAGCCCATAAAGTAATAGGTTGTCCCTCTAGGTGCTCTTGGTCTCGTTAGACTCCCTGCCAATATCTCTTAGCCGAACCAACGAGTTTCATTTTGGCAAAACGAACCCGATGGTTGTTGGACATATCATACCAATCAAAATAGTCATCCAACCAATCTAAGAAAGCAATAGGATCTAACCTACCATCAAAGCTAGGAGCGTCCACTTTGACTCTTTGTGTAATATCCCTAGATTCTTCATGGACATGCCTATGTCGAGGATTATGGTAACGCAGAGGAGGAGACCTATGGTATCTAGCATGTGGGCGAAAGGGCTCACGATAACCATCCATATCACCCTCTGCTGAATAGTCAGACATGACTACCCCAACGAGATCCTCCTAAATATTCCTACGACCTACGTTTCGTCCAAAAGCGGTATTAGGAGGTGTCTTCCTATTTGGACGTTGTATTTGGCTCCCTTGAGCTATTTGCGGAGTGGGTAAGACACCTTAACATGAGTCAGTAAGATCTATTGGGAGAGGCAGGTGCCGAACATTGGGTACTTGGTTAGACTTAGGTGAAACTTGTGACTCACTCTGGTCATAGTCTATTGGTCGTTTTTCCATAAACTTAGTCAATTGGGCTAGTTGAGTAGTAACTTGAGAAAGTTATTGCCCCATTCCTTTAACTTCCACACGTAACAAGTCGACTGATTGTTTAGTATCAGTCATATCAATGGTGAGGATCTCAAATTTTTGTTCTAATGCAGTATGGGATTCTGAAAGCTCACGAAGGGTCATAGTGAATGTAATGTAAAATTTGGGCTAATGTAAATGACCGACTAGACTAAAAATTAAACTAAGTAATAAAATTATAAATCAATGCAAATAGTCACACATAAAAACAAACTTATTGTAAAAAGACTCAAATAAACGTGAGACAAGCAACAATGGATTTAACAAGAAATTGGGTAAGCTAAGTTATGAAGGTGGTGTGTGAGAACATCAAACAAAGAAGGTTATGAAGGTGGTATGCGGGAACAACAAATAAAGAAAGTTTAGGTTTTTTTTTTTTTTTGTTTGACTTACCAACAAATATAAATACTAGTCATCAATTCTCAACGAAATGAACTCCTACCTGGTGTTAGATGCAACTCCAAGAGGATGCTTGACAAGTTAAGGGACGATCCTACAAAGTGTAGAACTTTTTTGGGTATTTTTGTAATTTCTAAAACTTTTTGGGTGATGTTTCTGTAATTTTCTGAACCTGTTAGGACGTTTCTGCAATACTGGAATTTCTAGATGATACTTCTGTAAATTACTAGAACTTCTGGGGTGATTTTATAACTTTAGAAAACTTCTGGGAAGGTTCCTGTAATTTTGGAGTTTTATGGGGGTGAAAGGGTTAAAACCAATGTCTTCTTCCTTAACACGATGGAACGAGGAAGAAAATGAGCAGCGATGAAGTCGAAGCAGCATAGGTCAACGACGAAAACAGGCGCAATGAACAGTAACAACGATGAACAGTGCACAATTATTTTTTTTTTTTTTATGGAACGAGACCAGAATAGTGCACACAATGAAATTTTTTTTTTTTTCTAGAACAAGAACGATGAACACTAAGAATCTGCCAAAGTTTTTTTTTTTTTTTTTACCTGGACCGCCAATGAACAGAGCCGATGAACAATGGTTTTGCACGAACAGTTTTTTTTTTTTTTCGATGAACGGCGTTGTTGAGATTTTTTGTGATTTATACGAATCAAAATTAGGCTCTAATACCAAATTAATGTAGATCGTATTAGGAAAGAATTAGGGATGAGAAGGGAAGAAAAAAGGGATGAGAAAATAAGGAGATGAGAATAGAGAGAATTTTAGAAATAAGATTCAATATCAATAATCAAAGTCTACCAAAACAAATAACATATCTCCTATATATATATATATATATATATATATATATAGGGAGACCACAAATCCTAAAAAAATCCTAAAAAAATAAATAGTCATAATGACAACTAAACCTCTGAAAAGCATAATGACAAATAACTCATAATCCTTACGCCTACTATAACGAAATATAATCCGATTCCTATCAAGAAGTGACTAAAACCCAATCTAGTAGGTGTACCAACAAACGGACAATGTTAACCTTCGTTGACATTGGCATCACATACAAAACACTGGTAACAAGGCCCGATAATTTATTGGTTCCTTTAGATATATCAGAAACCTTTACAATATATGTGGTGGCTCCATGTGGCAATCCCCCATTCTTCCATTATAAACCAGAGAGATGAGGTGCGGTACCACTCCATTACCCTCACTATCCCGTTTACTTGCATTGTTCTCTTTTCTTCTTTTTAGTTTGTTTTCTTGCCTTCCAGGCATATAGCCCAGGGTGTATCAGTAATTATCTCATAAGCATTAACTCTTGCAACTGATAAGAAAAGTCTGCTTCTCAAATTCAATAAGAAAACTCCTTTTTTGTTAAAAAGGATATGCCTAATGTGAAACACAAATATTAGAGTGACATGATAACATCACCCTTTGTGCCTATTCATTTTTTGAACCTGCATATGATGGCAAATTAAGACCAGGAAGTTCATTATCTAGGACAAAGTTAAGTTGAATTCCTGATCCAAAACGGCACTGAACATGGTTTTTTGAGAAGAAATGAATTGAAATCTACAATTACCTCCTTTAACCATGATGACAGAGATGCTGAACTTGTGTACTTAAGTTTGGCATCCTCTATCTCAGAAGAACCACAACGTAATCTGTTACCATATATCAAGGCATTTGATAGTTCCATAATGGCTGCACACATACGGTACTGCATATTGCAACATATTTGTATTTGGTTAATTTACCAAACAACCAAAAAGAGTAAGGAGAAAAACAACAGAAGTTAAACTTGAAGCCGAGTAACCTGACTCTGCAAAGCTGCAATTGCCTGGGGATGTGCTTCTGAAAGCCGGCAAAACAGGCTTACACCCATCCCATTCTCGCGGGCCTCTGTACTCTAATAGTGAATGCAACCATATTTAAATTTGTCAGCCATACAATCAAAAAAATGTCAGCAGTCAGAGCTTTCGAGAGGAGATAAACACCTGCACTAGTGGTGGCAGTTGATAATGATCTCCCACAAGGACAAACTTTGATGCAAACATCAACGGCCCCAGTGATACCTGACAGGATAATTATAAACTGTGAATTATGTATTTCATGAAATCCAACCACAGATCTCAACTTCTACAGTTGGTCATGCAACAAAGTAGTGACAAAGAAAACATTTAAGCATATACACATATGTAAACAATAATCTACCACCAACGGTGGACTTGCACGATGTGTGGAATTTACGATCCTCCCTAATTCTTCTACAATTACTGAGCCTCATCATTTGGGATATTGAATAAGAATTCCAGTAAATTATAAGGTGACACAAATAAATTTGTAAAAAAAATTAGAGTGGTAGTTAATTGGGAGGTGAATGAGTGATTATATGGGGGCATGCGTTGTGTTGTAATTAAATAAATGTGAATTCTAAGACAAAAAGAAACGGAGGGAAGACTTCCTAAGGCCTCTCTCCCCTAAATTTTTTTTTTTTTTTATGAACACACGTAAGAGAACATATGCAAATTTTGAATATACTTTACTGAACATCATTTGCAGCCGCAAGAGTAAGAAGATCAACAAGCCCAAGTCCAAGCACCACTCCAAAATGACCTAACATTTAAAGGAGTAGATGGGAGCTTATCAATTACCTTGAAACTCCTACCTCAACCGACGTGGGATTTCAATTCATCTTTTTTTTAATTCTCCCCTAAATTTATTGTATCAATATATAGTATAGATTACATCAAAGTATAAAAATCAGTAGTTATACATATTTATATACATTTGTGTATCATAGTAACAGACACACAGACACGTGGCTTTGGAGGGAAAAGAAAAAGGGGGGGGAGGACACTGTTATACATGTGCTGAGATTCTTTTGATTGAAGCTAAATGGCCAAATATTAATGTTTGATAGCACTCAATGTTTTATTGTTGTAGATACAAATAAAACCGCCACATAAAGGTCCACAAAAGTTAGCTGGCATATTAACAATTAAATACTGCATCCCATGTACTTCAATATTTACAGTTTGCCATCAAGACATTAGCTACATAATTTAATCATCCCAAAATGGAAGGATGCTGAGTGCCTCTACTTTATGACTATGTTTCTCAAAGCATGACCAAATCCCATATTGCTGCTTAGAAACTACTAACACCTATTAGCACCCACACCATGGCTTTTAACAAGATGAGACATGTAAATTAAAATAACATACAGGGAGGGTAGTCTGTCCAGCTTCATCCATGATGCATACATCAAATCTTTTGTTGGCTAGCAAGGGGCTAGTTATCCCTAAACAAGTAACAGCAACGACTTTGATTTGATCTAGCCTTAGCTTTATTTCTTCAATGCCATGCATGTCCATTGCTGTCATAGAAGGCTCTAATAGTAAGTTTAGAAGAACATGCAAAAATAACTTTCTGATTATAAAAATCCAACCTGATAAGCAATGGCCCTGAACTTCCTTATGCACAGCTTCATATCTTCCAATGCGTATAAAATCTATCCCCTGCAGTAGTTGTTTATAAGTCACACAAACCAAAAAAGGAGACAATTTTTATAAAAAAAAGTTGGTGCAATAGCTACATCATGAAATCATTAGCATACTTCAAAATAATTTGCAGCATGGGAGTCATCATTAGTAGTGCTTCTGCAAAGATCATGTCAGCAAGTTATTCCACCCGGTTCAAAAACTTCTCAGGATTGTGGCTATGATATCCCGTTATATTACATATTAGGAAGGTGACACATTAACATTTTAACACAACTTGCCCAAATCTTGGTCTCAGCCAAGATTTATACGAGTGCGCATCATCCCCCCCCCCCCAAAACAACAAACCCGAACACATTCACACAAAAAAAAACTGCAATCAGAAAAATGTGGGACAGTATTTTAGGAAAGATACAAAGGTCATTGAGGCTCGGTGAATCCTCAGCTTTTAGATTCATTATTTCTTACCAGTTACCAGCAATGATACATCCACATATAGTTTATGCCGTGTAAAAAAATATTGTACAAGATTTTACATGATATGCTATCACAAATACCATTAGAAATTAAAATCACAACCTATTGACTTAGATGTTTTATACTCAATTTCTGTATTTGTTTCAACCCACGCCTTTCTTCTTATTTATAATTAGTGTACTAAGGGAGTAGATTCTCTAAATCCTGTCCTCCACCCTAATTACAAAAAAAACAAACACTAAGAAATCTCACAAGCTCAAGGGAAGGAAAGTCAGCCTAGGGCTTGCAACAATCACAATAAATCTATAAAGTCCTTTCTGTTTAGTAAAAAGAGCACTCAAAACCATGTAGTAGAACCACTAATATTTCTGTTCCACCAATTGCCAGCTGATTTTGCAGACAGAAAGTTATATTTGAAAGCTGAAATACATTTTCATTGCTTTATTTTATCATGAAATAAGCACTTTTTAGCTGTTAAGCTTGAGAATAGAAGTCTGATTTGATGCCATTACTAGGACTCTATAATTAAGCTAATAGCCAGAGCTTGACGCCTCGAATATATGTTTAGGCTTATTCATTAACTAAACAAGCCAAGGTCAAGCTTAAGTGTCCTTATGGATCGGTAAAGAGATCAAGCTTGGGCAGCAAAAAACTTGGCTCAATAAAATTCATGATTGGTTGCTGTAGGATCCTTTTAGTTGAGGTATCCCTTGACAATCTAAATCAACCAAAACACTCTCAGCAAAAGAATCACGAGTCATGCAAGTATGGCCAGCTATTACAGTAAAGAATGAAGTTAGCTTCTGGAGTACATTATAGGAAGTAGTCTGCATGAGTTAAGAGTCTTTTATCAGGAAATTTGATAAGACTGATCAGTTATGCAAGCAAACTCTCAATCTTTGCCAAACAAGGTCATATCTAGGCTTGAATACACCTTCCGAGCTCAGGTAAATTTGGTTTCGACTCTAAATTGATCCTATGCAATCGATTCCAGTTTGAGCTCAAACAAAGAAAAGATGCATGCATTATTACAAGTACGCAAGGTAATTAGTACAACCAGCCCTTATTGAGAAGGGGATTGTAATACCCACAATAGGGGTTGTAATACTACAAATCAAGCTATCCTAGCATCCCAACCCAATCCTTAATACAAACTTTGATATTTATCATGTGCTTGCTTCTAATAGAAATAAATGTTTGGTTTCAGAGCAAAACAAAACAGAATTTTAAGGGCTGACAACAATTTGAAAAAAGACCCCCTAAAAATCTAGAGTCGACTAACTCTGAAGAATTTCATCTCTATACTACTACTGAGGAAAAAGGTTTGTGAAAGCACTTTTATTATGCACATCCAATATGTGCTGGAAATGGCACTTTTCAACTCCTACTACATGCTTCCCAACCCCCAGATACTTCATGAATTGAAGTTATTGCTTATTGGCTTATGAAAAGTTCAAGCAAGTTGGTTTTTTCTTACTACGAAGAATTTAAAACCCATCAGATGATGCATTTTTATTGGGGACACTATTTTAGGATTGAAGGAAATAAAACAATGATTTATGATCCAACTATCCATTTTATTTTTGTAACAAAAAAAATATATTTATTATCTTGGGATCATGCAAAACAAATTCAGTTTTTATGGCCAAGTAAGAAAGAAGTTCAAACAAATTCTCACATTTGCTGTTCCTTGATAACTGTATGAACTGTCATGTGACAAACATTTTACAAAAAGTAATCTGTCGAATTCCTGAATTGTGCCACTAATTATGTATTTAGACTTCCGAAAGAAGTCTATTAGCCATGATAAACATACTCCAACATATAAAATGCAACCGAATCCTCTACCAATTATTCAAATGAGTCTATGAAATTGAAAAAGAGGCAGAAAATGTAGTTATTTACACATTATGCAAAAAGTACATGAAGTAAGCAGATAAACACAACTACCAAAAAAGTCCATTTCTTCTTCAGTCAAAAAGACAGGCACGAAAAATAGAAGATAAGAGACAGCTTGAGAAGCAAAGTGTACTTCTGGTTGTAGGGCCATATCTGAAGCTTGAATATTTCTACTCCTATAATTGTTTTTGACAGTGACAATAACTTCTTCTCTAGTTGAAGAAATAAATGCAACACTTCTCTTGGGCTACCAATACTTTCAAGAAAAACTCAGCTTCCTCAAGAACAGCAAATTATGTGACGCTACACTCGCACTCTCAGGGTTGATATACTAATCATTTGTAACCTATTTATGTCACTAACATAGTATAACTATTATAAGATGCATCGAGGATAGAGATGACCTTAGCTTTCAGTTTGATAAGTAAATTATCAACAGCTGAGTTTGTGTAGGACGTAAGCAAAATGGATGCACCTCTAATCAACAACGCCTTCACGGCATGCACCAGAGTGGATGTTTTGCCTGTCCCAGGCATTCCTAGAATAAGTGCATAATCCTTTGCGGTAAGTATCTGAAATTATCAAAGTCTTACTAAGCAACAGCAAGAATCTGAATATTACAAGTTAGCAAACTTCCAACCAAAACACTTAATTCTGTGGAAAAAGCATAAAATGGAACTGGAATGGATATCATGAACCACTGTTAAGGAACAACTGTCAATACATAGCACCTTGATTATAGCTCTGCGCTGATCATCATTCAGATTTTTTTCCGACCAGATGTATGATAGGGCTGGATCTTGACTAAATATACATCCACTGTCAAATCTGGGAGCCTGTAACAAGTGCACAAGCTCCCATAAAAGATGACCTTCACACACAACGAGAGAGAAAGAGAAATGATATCAATTTATAACTGAATCACCTCAAGGTCAACTATCAGCTTCCTAAGATGAGAACTCTGCTCATTTTGCAGAAAGAGCTGAACAAGGTTGAACCTTCATAAACAAAGATAGACATGTAAGGCGCATATTGCAACCATTTTGACAACCAAGTGTGCTACAGGTAAAGAAATCAATTGTGAAATAAACCACCTCATAATTGCAAATGAAGTCATAATTTCATCCTTGTCAATCCGCCAGACCTGCCGACAGAGATCTTGTGCCACTGAAGAAGGGCTACTTCCAGGAAGCCTTAAGCACTTTGAGAAAGAAACCTATGAGTTTTATTGAAGAAAGGAATTAGATAAGTAAGACTTAATTTTATAATGTGATGCCACAGTATGGTTAATTAGATTTTCAATTTTTTTAACATAATTATCATGCATCTCCTCAGAAGGCAGGAATGCACACATAAACAGATAATTTGCTTAGGGATATGACAGAATATTAAATACTGCAATAAGATACTTACCAAAACATGGGAGTTGCTGATATCCACTATGACCCCACTAGCAACTATCAAACGATCAGGTTCAGTGCTCAGCATCTGAAACAATATAAAAATAATTATCTATGCAATTACTTGGTTCATAATGAATACGTGTCAACATGAAGTGATATTGAACTCTCTACAGTTAAATGTTTCTGAATAAGACATGTTCATCAGTAACAGGCATAGCGTGAGCAAAAATTTGCAGGCAAACATGTAAGATGTAACCAAGGATCAAAATTTCGTTTCGAAGTACCGTTTCGGTCAACTCAAAAATAGAAACGTTTCGGAAACATTTCGGAAACGCAATGGAAAAGCAGAAAAAATATGGAAACGCATAGAAACACAAATGCAATCCATTAATTTATAAAGATATGCTAAATAATTTATTAATTCAACATATTTATTAGGTTAACATCAATTTATACAAGAATAAATTTAAATTTGAGGGAAAAAAAGGCTTGACTTGAGGCGAAAGTCACTTAAATTAGTTTCAAACACTTAATTTTTATGAAATAAACACATTTTTACATAATATTAAGGTCTTATAATACACATGAAATGTTAATGAGTACATACTTACATGGTTACATCCATTCCCCTGTGGAGTGTCGAGCAGGCTCATACATCGGTGTAGGCTCTGGGTAGCTACTTAGAGAAACTCCATATGTGACATAAATATGATGACAATAGTTACTCCAAATCATATTATTACGGTAATATAATCCAATTAATAATACTATTTTATTATAATACTAATAATGAAGGGTATCAAATTAAATTAATGATACTTATGTATACTTAAAAATTAAATGTAATTGCAGTGGGTATTAAATATAATTACAGTAGGTATTAAATATAATTACATTAGGGTATTAAATGTAATTGTTAATACTTATAACAAAAAAAAAAAGCAAAAAACTTGCACAGCAGTGAGGTATTAAATATAATTACAGTATGTATTAAATATAATTATAATGGGTATTAAATATAATTATAGTAGGGTATTAAGTGTAATTATTTATTCTTATAACAAAAAAATTATAAAAGACAGAAGAGCAGTGGGAATTAAATGTAATTATAGTGGGATATTAAATATAATTATAGTGAGTATTAAATGTAATTACAGTGGGTATTAAATATAATTATTCATAATGAACCGAATATATCACTGTTTTGTCGAAACGGTACTGTTTCGATCGAAACGGTTCGAAACAATGCCGTTTCGATCGAAACGGTCCGAAACAGTACCGTTTCGACCGAAACACTGGAATTTTGTGATTCAACTACTGTTTCGTTTCGGAGTGTTGAAATTCCGAAACGTTTCGGAACGAAACGTTTCGGACGTGTCGACACGACATTTTGATCCTTGGATGTAACTAACTGGTTGGAACTATTGTTTTGCTGCATTGCATCCTTCACAAGCACCGCAGAAAATAAATGTTTGTGCGAAAGTGTAATAACATCTTGGTATTCTCAGATATTAAATCAATGCCAATGGAGAAAAAAGCACAGCCAAATAGTTATGTAAAAATATCCATACCACATAGTCCCCAGTTCTTAGGGTGCAATCCATGTTGTTTATTGGAGAAGAGGCAGGACCCAAAGAATCCATTTCATATGCTTTACCATCAGGTGGAGGCAAATCTTGGCGCATGAAGCGATAAATAAATCGGTTGCTCTTAGAAAACTTTTTTGGTAAGAGTTTATCTGAAGTGTCAAGAACTAGAGAAGAAACACAACTAGTGTAGTGTTCACTCGTTAAACTACGAGAACACCACATTTCTTTCTTCACAGCCTGAAATGGTGAGAAAATGAAAGAAAATAATTTCACACTGACCCTTTCGGAAGCAGGTTTTGATATTATGAAAACAGTCATTTCAAAAATTGCACCTCCAATTCTTTCGCCTCTAAGTCAATCAAACGATCCCACTTTTTCAGGAAAACACAATGTGCAGTTGACAAATGGTTAACAAGTGAATCAAACAGCTCACCCAATCCACTATCCGCTGTGCTTCCTCCATGCACCTTCAACATATAATACAGCATTCAACAGCATATACAGGCAACACAATTGACATGGTAATTAACCATGCTGATACATTTCTCTATGACAAAAGATACTATTGAAGTGAGGACTGAAAATAAAAACTCAACCGCTGCTCGTACAATGGAAGTGCATGAGCGTGCGTGCTCATGATTATATGATATTTTCATGAAAGGGCTTCCATTACTTACATTGGAAGGTGAACTCAGTTCAAATAGAAAAGATAGGAAGGAATAACATCACTTGAACCTAATTTATTGACCTAACCTATTGCTGCCTTTGGATTGGAAATGAGCCCTGTCCAATATTGGGACCCATTTGGAATCCAATAGTAGCAACGGAATAGGTCAACAAATTAGGTCCAAGTAGCATTAAGTGACAATAAGACTAGGCCACCCTTTCGAGTGTGCACTGCTTAAGAAGAAACTTAAAAGGAGACTCTGTGACCTGCTTTTAGCATCATATAATTTTTCAATGTACACTTTCAACAAATATGTATGTACAGAGGAGTTACTTCACACATATCCCTCTACAACATAATTTTTCTCTACCACATATAATAATTAAACAGTTTAAGTTCATTTCTATCAATTCAGAACAAGATTTCTTCTTTCTGGCACCACTCAAACAATGATTCTGGAATCCTTGGACTTTAGAAACATCAGAAGTTTACCTTATGGTAGACAGTACAGACATTAAGGTGCCTGCAACCCTTGCACATGTTTGGACTCTGAATATAGAAGAAAAGGGAAAATTATCAGAAGCAATCCATAAAGGATATTCAGGCAGATAAAATAATATTGAACAATCGTACCTGTAGCATTTGTGGAAGTTGCTGTGACATTGATGCCTTGAGAATATCAGTTGCCAGTTCATTACGACGCATAATTAGCCCAACCAAGTCAGATCTTTGAACCACAATTCCCTTCACATAAATCCATTGATATAGTTAATACATGAAAAGAGGAAGAAATAAGACAGAAGTACTTAATTTTACCTGTGTCTGATCTGTGTGTAGATAGTATAAAAGACCAGAATCAATGTTCTTTAGGTATCTGAAAGGAAAAAACAAAATAAAAAGAAAGAAAAGGATACAAAAAAGGTGCAAAAGCATCATCTATCCTTAATTCTCAATAACAAAAATGTAACATTTGAATAAATTGGCCTGACCATACTCACCTGTCGGACATAAGGAGAGTATATAACATCACTTGAGCATTATGTTCCATAGCTGTCTGCATAAATGACAGAGTATGAGCGCTAGTAAAAATAAGATCAAGAAAAGAAAAAATAGTAAGGGTGGTATCTACTAAATATGTCCTAAGTTCAGATCATCTCCGCATTTCATTGTGCAGAAATATCTCTTTGATGAGAAGCTTGCCTGGCCACTGGTTCCTTTCCCAGTTTTGAACTCTAAAGGCATAATCTTCTCATCAGTTTTATTGGTGTCTGATTCAACTTTTACTCGGACAGAGGCATCAATAACCCCTTTCAAGCCATACTTCGGAGCCCATGCCATCTCCTCAATATCAACTACCTACATTTGAAGAGGATATTCCATGAAACAAGAAAACATTACTTCACTTACAAACTGATGAGTAAATGCTAAGTTTGTAAATGTGAACCCTTTCAAAGTGCTTATGACTGGAAATTTCAAGCGAACATATGAGCATAAAAGCATCAATCAACTGAGAAACTTAGGCCGATATGGATGTTTTATCATGTCTTCCAACATTCTTCAAATACCAAGCAACGTTGTATACATTCCTAATTGCATGAAGTCAGTGGCAGATCCAGCACTTCCACCTTGAATGGGCAAAGGAAGGTCTCTATCACTCTAACCAGAATGTCAACTTTGGCAAACAGTTATTTTCCTATTTAGTCGAAAGGTTTAGAAAACAAGATATTTGTCACCAATATGCAGTAGATTACTAGAAAACTTACATAATTAAATGCCTTTATCTTCACTGTTTTCTTAGGAGGGTTCAGATTGTTTTCAACTTAAGCTATATAATTTTTCCAACAATCTTGCCTGAGATGTTAATTTCTAAATTTAGAAACTTTACATCTCAAAAGTTCATGTAAAATTTCCAACTAAATATCCATAAAGTACATCAAATGTGTTCGCATCACGAGTTTGAATTAAGGAATTGGGATATCCAAGGAATTATTGGATAGAAGAGAGAGAGAGAGATCAAATGAATATACAAGGAATTATGGGATATCCAAAATTAGTTGGTAAGAGTTAAAGGGGTAGATGAAATTTATAAAAGGGGCTTCTGCAGACTACAAAAACCAAAGAATCTGGCACCATTATGGGATCTCTTGTAGGCACTAGAGGTCTCCTTTATTCAGGAAGACACCCCAAACTATGGAGACAAACGGCATTTACCAGGTATATGGGACTGATTACCCTCCCTTCCCCCTCCATGACCCAGTGCATGAAATACTGCTATGCATATACATATCTGAGCACATTACTAATGCATTCAAAGCCTAAAATGAGGTTTGTAAACTAATAGAGTTATGGAATGTATAAAAAATTGATCAAACACGTAGATGGAAATAAAGATGACCCATTAACTTGCCTTACCTCAGATATTTTGACCTTCTGTATTCCATCATCAGATCTAAAATCAACACTAGGAGTTTTCGACCCCTGCAACAATTTTGGAAACATTAGCCTCTAAAATTATATGCAGTATAACATGAACAAAACTGAAGGCTATTTTTGAGATAGATGTAAACCGCCTTGCAAGACAATATTCAAAAACTTACATGTTATACAAGTAAAAAGACATATGCAGGTATTGGTTCCATAGCTCACAAAGGCAGTAAAGGAAAAGAGGAATATCATTTGTAGAAAATAACACAATCCATAAGAAGACAACAAAGCTTCAATTTCTAACAGAAGGAGGATAATAAAGGGGCAGTTTGAACAAAACAATACTCATTGAAGTGCATAATTGGCTTCAGATTTAGGCATATTTAGCAAGCCTGTACGTTTACTTTTCTGCTAAATATGCACATATGTACACACTCACACACATGCATTCTAATGACTACAAATTCCTAAAGCAATATTCCTAGACCAACTATTTCCAATAAAGTTAGCACATTGACAATTAGCTCATGTCAAGTTGGCTGAGCATCAAGACCCTTGCAAAGTTCACAGTGGACTCGAGTATGACAACCCCGTCTAAACTTGTCTGACCCCCAGCCACACAGCATCCCATAGGCCATAGTTCAAAGCAACTTATAAATGATAATTAGAAACACTTGAAATAAATGTGAGCAAAGAAAGGGATACAAACTAAGTGTAGAACCCCCGTATATATAGCCAATGAAAATTACAATAAGGGTAAAAAAGTAAAAAAAAAAACTATAATAAACCCAAATAAATTAAGTTGTAATATCTCCAACATTCCCCCTCAAGTTAGGCGCAAAAATGTCAACTAAGCCAAGCTTGACAACGGAGTCCCGAAGAATGGATAGAGTGACAGGTTTGGTGAAAACATCTGCAACCTGATCACCAGTCCCCACAAACAATAGAGTGACAATACCACTGCTAACCTTCTCCCGAAGAAGTGAACATCAATTTATATATGTTTCGTCCTCTCATGTAATACAGAGTCAAAAACGAACTAAATAGTAAATCGATTATCACAATATAATATAAATGAAGAAGTCATTGGAAATCCCAACTCGCCAAGAATCGATCATAGTCAAATAATCTCACATGTGTCAAATGCCAGTGTCAGCGCCTGATACTCTGCCTCTGCTGATGAGCGGGAGACAACTGACTGCTTCTTGCTTTTCCAAGAGATAAGATGAGTCCCTCGAAAAGCATAGAAGTCAGTAGTAGATCGATTGTCACGCGCTCCCCCATAATCTGAATCTAAATAACAGGCTAAAAAACCAGTCTGAGATCCTCATACATAGAACAACCCAAGTCCAAGACAAGACTTGAGGTACCGAAGAATATAATAAACTACATCAAGATGAGGTTGACATGGTCTGTGCATGAATTGACTAACTCGATTGACAACGAATGAAATGTTTGACCTAGAGTTGGCTAGGTAAATAAGTCTACCTACCAACCTCTGATAGACAGTCAGATCTCTCAACTCCTCACCTTTAGCAATAAGTTTCAGGTTTGGAATCATGGGTGATGATGCCAGTTTGCACCCCAGCATCCAAGTGTCTGAGAGAAAATTCAAAACATACTTTCTCTGAGAAAGAACAATACCCTTGCTGTTACAGTAACTTCAATCCCAAGAAAGTATCGCAAAAATCCAAAATCCTTTACATCAAAGGTTTTTACAAGGTCTACTTTGACCTGCGCAATCCCAAAAATATTATCTTCAATAATAATAATATCATCAACATATACCAAAAGGATGACACACTGTCCAGAAGTATTCCATTAAATGAAGCAGGTATGATCAGAATGGCATCTGGTGAACCCTAAACATACAACTACATCACTAAAACGAAAAAACCAGGCTCGTGGTGACTGTTTCAGTCCAAAAAGAGACTTACGCAGTCAACACACCTTTCTAGCCTACGTGAAGAAATGCATTCTTCATATCCAACTGATAAAAAGGTCAAGAATACTCCACAACTAAAGAAATAATCAATCAAACAGTAGTCAATTTTGCCACAGGGGCAAAGGTAGCACCAAAATAACGACTTAGTACCTGAGTAAAGCCCTTCGGCATAAATCTATCCTTATGACGATCAATAGTACCATCCGCAAAAAATTTCAAGGTGTAAAACCAGCGACAGCCAACAGACTTCACCTCTGAAGATAAAGAGACAAAATCCCACATATGATTATGCTAAAGAACATCCATCTCCGTCTGCATGACAAGAACCTACTGGGGCTCCCTCATAACCTCTGAAACAAAGCGAGAAACTGGCGTATCTGATAAGGCCATACTATAAGCTCGAAATGTAGGAGACAAATCACTATAAAACACAGAAGTAGAGATTGGATATAAAGTCCTGACAATCCAACCATAACGAACAACTGGACGACGATCACGCTGCGGATAACGACGCCCTAAATCATCATCCTCCACTGACAATGTCTCATCAGAAAAAATAACCAACTCAGTACCTGCAATCTCATCAGTACTAACAAGTGCATCAATATGCTCAAAGAACTGAGAAGTATTACCTACATCACCTGAGGTAGAAGGGACATCAACAGCGGGATGAGAACGAGGGCGACGAACATAAACCTACAAAGAAAGAGAGACTGATGACTCTGTACTGACAGGGACGAGTAGCTCTGGAGAAGGAGAGATTGATGACTCTATACTAATAGTCACCAATGGCTCTGGCTCCTGCGATAACGAAAAATCAAAAGGGAGTATCATCAACTAGAAGGGCAAATATAAGACTGAAAGAAAAATAAGGAATGTGCTCAAGAAAGATAACATCTAGACTGTGATACATACGGCGCCATATAGAATCATAACACCGATACCCCTTAGACTGATTACAATAGCCAACAAAGACACAATAAATCGCTTTATCATCAAGCTTATGGCGAGTAGGAGACTGATTCTGAACAAAATATGTGCAACCAAAAACACGAGGGGGAACCGAAAAAAGTGTCCGCTCAAGAAATAAGACCTGTAAGGGAGCCCTATGCTGAAAAACACGACTCGGTGTACGATTACACAGAAAGGTAGAAGTCAAAATAGCAAAATGTCAATAAGATTTTGGTACTCTCATACCTCTAAGCATACAACGTACCATCCCTATTAGACTCCTATTTTTCCTTTCAACAATTCTATTTTGCTCAGAAATATATGGACAAGTGAGCGGCTGAAAGATACCTTGAGAGGAAAGGTGAGACACTAAGGCATCGGACACATTCTTTGGTATTATCTGAACAAAGAGCATAAATAATGACATCGAATTGTATCTTAATCATTTAGATAAACTGTGATGACAGGGAACACATCAAATTTCTTATGCAAAAAGTAGATCCAAGTACAACAGGTATGGTAATCTATAAATGTCACATAGTATCGAACACCTGACAAAACAGTAACAGGAGAAGGTCCCCAAATATCAGAATGTATTAGGTCAAATGGCTTGGGTGACTGGTGCAGGCGAGGAATATAACTGGTCCGAATATGTTTTGATAGGGAACATATAACACAGTCAAGTTTACCACCAATACAAGTATTGCTCAAAGCAAGAAATAACATACATAAATATTTAAAATTTGTATGTCCAAAACGATCATACCACAACTGAACAGTTTGTGATGAAAAATCATAACGACAAGTATCAGACAAGATACTAGCATGCAAGTTAGGAACAGATAAAGACAAAGTAGGTGCAGGTGATAGAGGTGGAGGAACTGGTAAAACTAGAGGTGGATCACCTAGATAATACAATTCATCTCTCTCATGTCCCCTGATAATAATCTTCTTGGTACTCAGGTCTTGCAAATAACACGAATCAGATAAAAACACAACCGCACAGTGAAAATCTCTAACTAACTGATGTACGAATAATAAATTCATGTCCAATTTTGGCGCATGAAAAATTGAATGTAATGTAAAGCCATCTAGGAGGCAGACTGTACCCCTACTAACAATAGGGACATGTGTCCCATCTGCTAGCTAAACCTGTGCATATAACTACTCGTCAAAAGTGGTGAAATGATAGGTCTCACCTGTCATATGACCATTTATACCCGAATCCAGCATCCAAAAGGGAGATGGACTGACACAAGCATGAAAGGCACGAGGTATACCTGTAGTAGTGGCAGTAACAGTAGTCGGACCCTGAGAAGTTAGGACGGATATAAGTATATCCAATCAGAAAATGATAGCATCCATTTCACTCTACCAAGGAAGAGCTGCAGCATGAACGACAGTAAGTGGTGGTACCTCAACAACAGCAGCAGTACGACTACGAGGAAACAGCTTAAGCTCTAGATAAAACTTCCAGCAAATAGCCCAGAGATGACCTGGTCGACCACAATAATAACACCAACGAGAACCAGGAAGTACATTCCAGGTGGAAGTACTAACAGCAGAGATCTCAAGAGTAGAAGTTTCATATCCCTCAATAGTAGCCATAACAACAATAATACTAGAGCACCCGCGACAGAAAAATAACTCTAAGATAAATAGAGGGATAAAATAAAGGAGAACAATATACCTTCAGTCAAACAGTAGCGACAGATAAAGAAGGTCTAAAAAACTCCCAAATAATAAGGTCATGGTGCCCAGAAATCCAATAAATATAAATAAATGATTTACTGCATCAAGAACATATCAACGAAGACAAGGAATGCGAAGGACGAAGCCACAAAAATCACGACCAGACAGTGGGCAGTAGGCAGTGGGCTGTTCTGTGGTATATTGGGTTTGGGCTAGACTAGACTGGTTTAGGACTGGATTGCACTGGGCTGGACTGGTTTGAGTTGTAGTGATTCGAACAAGTTCTGATCTCCTGACGTCAAACGGACTTGGGCTTTAACAAGATTTGGGCTGAATAACATCAAAACCCATATCCAGCATAAAATGGAAACAACATAACCCGATTGACGTTGGGTATCGTCGTCAACATCTGTTGCTGCCAAACAAGAAAACCCTACCAATGCCTCTGGTCAGCAACGAAACGGCATCAACCCAGTGACACTCAACAACAATCAAACCCAATAGCCTCTTTGGTGATCAATTTAATCAATCATCAACAACAGCAACTCAACGATGGAAAACAACGGCTTCACCTTGACGAAGAATCAATAACAACAACTCAACGGTGGTCGACAATCGACAATTCCACCTCGACGACGAACAGGGAGTCAACAGTAATGATTTCCTTCTCGACGGATAGGGACTGTGGGTTGGCTAATTTTAATATAGGCAGTCGGTTATTGGTTTTCTATGTTAGAGTTTGTCGGTTTGATGGAGATTGTCATTGTCAGTTTGTATTTTTGCTTACTGATTTCGATGGGTGCTGTATAGGCAGTCGATGTCAGTTTTAATGGAGGCAGTCGGTGCAATGGGATGTTTTGATAGAGGCAACAGGCTGGTTAATGTGATTGTGGGTTGGTGATTGCCGGTGAGTATGACGGAGAAGGTTAGGGTTAGGGTTAGGGAATGGCTCTGATACCAACTTGAAATAAATGTGAGCAAAGAAAGAGATACAAACTAAGTGTAGAGCCCACGTATATATAGCCAATAAAAATTACAATAAGGGTAAAAAGGTAAAAAAAGAAAAACTATAATAAACCCTAATAAATTAAGCTGAAACCAATATTCCTGCACCTTTGAATCTCGGAAGACAAATATCCAGTTTAATATTCTTGGGATTGCCTCAATCAAAGTCTTGTAAGTATCATTTTCATTTACTGCAATGACAAAAAAGAACATAGATTATAACTTCCATGTACAAAAACATTTAGTGCTTTACTTGCACACTTCGCCAGTTATGAAAAAACAAAATAATAGGAGAAGATGGCCCAATGAGAGCATGGTTTCACAATGGCAATGTAGTGATGAACCTGACGATGTTTCAATTAGAAATGGTAAAATGCAGAAAAGAAATTTTCTATTTATCTCCACCTCCACATGCATACAAGCTCTCAAAATTTTTTTGAATCACCACTCTCGCATATTCTTCCAAAAATTCTTTTGTTGGCAATTCCCTGAGCAGACCGGCCTGGAATATGTTTTAGTCAGTATAATATATACATAGCCCAAAACTTGCTCAGACCAAAGGACAACATTGTATTTGACAGTTTTGACAAGAGAAATTTTAAAAAACTATGAAATCATTGAACCTGAAATATCTGATGCAGTAAGGTACCGATCAATGCTGCGCCTGAATATTCGCTTTTTTTTATCCTCTCATCCAGGACAGTACGCCTTGGACAACTAAAACTAGCAGCAACCTAGTAGGATGTTATCACATCCGATAAGAAGCACAAATCTAGTGATCAGAAATTTTTATAAATAGCAGCCAGAAAAAAATAATGCTAAACAATCTTCTAATGCTGGCACTGAACGAGCCAGATAAGCATCATGTCCAAAAGTAGCCAAGTAGAAAAAGAGCTAGTCAGAATACCCGAGTTCCAGACACCAAAATATCTGGGTGGACAACTAGAAAATTCTTGTCGCGACTCACAACACACTTTCCCTGGCCATTGAAGTCACCAATAACATGAACCGTATCTCCAGGTGCAATCACACTATAAAACCTGGAGGAAAACAATAATATATACAAATGCTGCGATCATATATCCCATGGCATTTATATAACCAGTACAACTCAAATAAACCAATATAAGTCTTCAACACAAAAGCTCTTGGTGAAAGATCGAAGTAGCAGAATTTATATTAAGAGGTACACATAGCTATATTTAGTTTCTTTTGGTGTTTAGAAAAACATCAGACACTGAAGGCAATAATGTGAAACTGCAACTAGGATAAGACAATAAGATGCATGTTGCTTTAGAAACAGTCACATTGAACTATTCACTGTAATAGAATAATTCAATGAAGCAAGAACTCAAGATCAAGAAACTGTCATCCAAATACTGAAAGGTTGATGCTAATTCTATGGAAGCTTCTTTAGAAAAATAAGTTATTATAATTTACTGTGGCATGTGACTGGAACCCATAACTAGATATAGAAAGTTCAGATCCATCTATCGATGTAGTGTCAATAATTGATCCCAAAGGGATATGGAATAACTCACAATTAAAAAAAATTCCAGGACTAAGTCCAGAAAAAAATAAAGGAATACTATGGAAAAAACACAATTCCAACTACCTACCATTCGTCCCACAAGTGCACAGCCCGCTCCTCTCCATTTTGCTCATTCAGTAAGCGCACAACCTGGAAGCAATAGCTTAATTCAATCACGTTCCCATCTCCAAGGAGACTTTGAAATGAGTCAGGAATTCAACACAGTGCAAACCTTAAAAGGGTATTGAGAACCAGATGCATCAGAAGGTCCACGTTTCTCACAAACCTACAGCAAGATATGATGCAAAAGAATTCAAATCCAGGACTGTCATTCTATAGTCTGAAAGAACCATAAAGTAACAGAATGCTGAAGCATACCTCCAATACAAGAAAAAAAAGATTTGGAGGTTCCCTATTGATCTTTTCCGTTGAATCAAGTGCCTGACCTTTGATAAGAGGATCAACCTTGACAAATCTCTCACTGCCAATTCTTCCTTGAATTTTGGACAAGTGTGCCTCCGTATTTTTACTACATTCAGGCTCTTCAACTGAAATTACATCTTCTACTTGATCTAAAAGTTCAATCAATGCCTGACAAATAGACAATTAATATAAGTACAACAAGATGCTTTAAGCATTTATTTTACATCAACTAGATCAAATATTTCTAAAGAAATGCAGAAGTACCAACAAAGAGCAAGATTAATAACATGACATGACAATCAGAGAGTAATGAAATTGGCATATAAGTACCTTTTTGTGTTGTCTTGAACCCAGCTGATTGGACACTCCATTAGGATCAACGCCATCAGCAGGCTATACTTCAATTTGAAATCAACAATCAAAAAACAATTTTGAAGTAAGCCAAAAGGTATACTATACCATGAAAAGATAATTACCTTCTCATGGCAATATGATAGAGACGGAGGAGTTTTGAATGGACTCTGACTGATAACCACTCCAGAGTTGTTCTCAATATTTACGTTTTCATTGCTTCCATCTAAATTCAGATCATGACCTGGGCCAACCTTTTTCAAGCTAACCCTATTGCACAATATCAAAGGTTTTCCAGCAGCCTTCAGTGGAGGCGAGCAAAGCCACTTTTCAAGCTTACCCGCTGAGCCAGGGGAGGTCTGTACATTGGAGTGATAACCACCAATCAAGTAGTGCCCTTACAAAATAAAAGAAGCAATATCAAACACAGGAACATGCCTTCTTCTGTGAGCAATGATGGAAATCCAAAGAGTTGAACCGTGAAGAATCTGCCAACACCTTCACCATCTCGGGTAAGTGCTTTGACATCGCATTGAGTCGCTCATTTACTGGTGAAATTTTCCATGTGATGTCATCACCTCCATCATCCTGACTTTGTTTTATCAGCTAAAACAATGAAAATGCACCAAAAAATCAAGATTTTCCCATCCACAAAAAGGAAGGTCAAAAAGCCAATTCTTAACTGTAAGCAAATAACATGAATTTTTGGAGACTCCCCCATCTGTATAGACGAAAACACATACAAATGTCAGAAAAAAAGAAGGTAATTACCATTCCTGGTGAAAACTTGAATCGCTTGAGGGGCACCGACTTGCAAATTTCTGGCGACACCTCCGATTGGTTCTCCGCATCAATTACAACAGATAATATATTCTCAGTAGGCGTATTTTGAGAAGGATTATTCGTCTCTGTGGTCCACAAATTCACCCCATTTGCAGAATTCCGAGCTTCCAAAACCACTTTAGGGTTTTGACAAGTCAAACTACCATTATCCAAAGCAAAATTAACCGAATCATTGTTATTTTTAGGGTTTTCAGGTGCTGAGATGACATTAGATGGGTCGTTCTTTTCAAAATTTAGTGAATTCCTAGGGTTTTGAAGGGTTGAAATATGTTTTACTGGATCAGCTGATTTTGAATTGGGTATAGGTTGAGGGTTTCCGGAAGTGGAAAGTACAGAAGTTGGGGCGTTTGGGGCTTTTTTGGGTTCTTGAGAGAGGGAGTTTTGGGTGTGGCGATGGAAGAAGTGTTGGATTCCGAACTTTGATGGCTGAGATTGTTGTTGATTCTGGTTCTGGTTCTGGTTCTGGTTCGATTTCTTCGATCCTGAGGTAGTTCTCTTTCTAGGTGGCATTTCCAATCTCTTCTACTACTACTTCTGTGACTACTATACTAGGGTTTTGATCTGCTTAGCTTCTAAGGACTGCACTGCTATGTATGTGTTCTCATCTGCAAGATAGAGAAAGAGAGAGAGAGGCTATATTGGAATGTACCTGTTTCCCGCCTAAAGATTCCAAGGGCGGTTTGTTTTTCTATGTTTACGAGGGAGAGATTTTGAACCGTTGGATCAATATAAGCGGTGGAGATGCATTATTTGGGGGAAATAAGCTGCAGTAACTCTTTGATAAATCATATGCGTTCCATCTGCAAATAGAGGGGTAAAATAACCACTAGCGATATAATTTTTTGGGGTTAAACAATTAAAGATTTATCTCTAATGAATATCTTAATTCTGACATAGATGATCTGTCTTTAATCCAATAAGATAAGAAATTAGACAAAATATGCGTAAGTTGATCCGAACACTCCTATCCGTTAAACTAAAAAAAACAAACTTGTTTCAAATTAAGTACATCATGGCAAAAACTATGGCCATAGTCCACGTGATGGAGTAAATATTTAGTGCAACGGTTATACCACATTAATATTATCATCTGATTGAATCTTTTAATGATAACTCAACAATTAGATAAATTAAACCCCACCCCTTCAAATAACACATCATCCATCTAAACTAGTAACTGTTATATATTTAAGGGCTTATGTACCTACTTTACATCATGTAATAATGTTGACATGTGTAACTACTCAGCGTGATGTCCCGAGCACCCATCGGGCCATGGAACTATCCGCCCGATAAACCTAAGTGGTGGGTTGGTACGTTTTATTAATAAAGATTTGATTGGTTTGTCAGTGCAATTAAGTTTTTTAAACTTATATAATAAAGTAGTTTATGTCACGCTCCATCCTAGTCTCCCAAGGATGAGACGTGCCTAAGTTTTTAATACATCTGTTTATGTATTTATATAATCTAGATTAATAAAATATCAATTAATCCACAGGTGCAACAACATCACTCATCACCTTAATCGTTAAATATGATGGTAATACTTGTTTTATAACATGTACCATATATAACACATATACCATTTTTGTTTTCCAGGTTATATATATGTACAAAATTTTACATTCACATAGCATACATCACAAAGTATGCTTGTTGAGTTTATTTAAAAATATATACATCATTAACCTGTTATAACAATCTTTTATTCAATATAATATACAACATGAGTAATATCATATCAACTTCGCTGAACTACTCCGGACTGAACTCAATTCACTAGACAATACTCAATCAATTGGACAATGGATTGATCTGTAATTTCCTTTATAATACCTAAAAATGATAACTTATAAAGGTGTGAGCTAAATCACGTGCTCAGTGAGTATACATGTCGTATATGAAATAAAAATGATAATAATACACATAAAGTAGGTAAATATTACGTAAATATACGTATCAAACAATAACATCAATCCAATTCAAAAGAATTCACAAGTCACAACATATTCATACTACCTCTCTTCGGGTAATTGATCCCACATAGATTTGTGTTTTTCGAACCTCCTGGAAACACCACAATGCTAGCACACCACTGCATGCCTAGTGATTAGGCATCGACGCTCCTGTCTCAAACAGTGCGCCACATTCCACAATACACAATATACAATACAAAACATCATTCAATGACAAAAAGCATATAGCACATAATCCTGAAGAAATACTATTAAATTATATCATTTAATATCGTCTTATAATAACATTTTTAAAACATATAAAAATATACAACCATCTCAAGTGTACAGAGCTAGGAGTTTTCGGACCTACCGGTGGATCCCTTCGATATTTCTGTATCTGTCTCTATGCCAACTGTCCTACCTATTCCATCTAACACATTTGTAATTACAATATCAACGTGTTTATCACATTGAATAATTAATCATGTACCGTTGCATGCAAGATGATTCAACCCAAAGTGCCACGGTTACCGCATTGTTTACTCGTATACTGACACATTAGATTTAGGGATCATATTTCTTCCTCAAATCTTCAAAATTACTCACACTAATCACAATTAATAATAAGTAGGTCAAACACATTGACCGGAGCCCTATTTCCACACATTTCAACCCCGAATTTTAAAAATTATATTTCAGGCATTTCGTACATTTCGCGTCATATATTATATTCATTTGCATTCAAAATTTACATTATCACATCAAATATCAATAAAAAATGCAACATGCAAAATTTTGAATCATTTGGATTAAAATTCATACAAGCGATAATAATATTTAGAAATCAGGATTTTGACATTACCGACATCTATTTCCCATTTCTATCATGCGTTTTTTTTAAATCAATCACACTTAAACTCACACAATCATTAAATCATGCAAAACAACCCCCCTAATTGAACCCCTAAACTCTCCATTCCACACCCAAAAACCTCAATTTCAAGCTAGCCCCCAAAGCATCAAAATATTCATTTTTCACATTTTTCTCACATCCAATTAAATACCCATTTAAAAACCCCTAAATTATGTTCAACACACTTAAACAAACCCACACAAAATCTATTTTGAAATTAAAATAAAGCAGCCTATTAAATTAAAATAAAACAACTCACCTATAACACACACATGTTTAAATTTTAATCACACATACCCAGACTCTTACCTTCACCTTCTTCTTGTTTTCTCTCACTTTTGGTTTGGCATGGAGTCCCCCAAATTCTTATTTCTATTTTTTTTTCTTTCTTCTTCCTCTCTTTCACTCTCCCTCACTCATAGTTTAAAGTTCAACAAACCAGAACACGCACACACACAATGGCTTGTGTTTTAAACACACACACTTTCCTACACCTTAAAGTACACACACATTTTCTATACCTTATCAAACACACACACTTGTTTGTATTTTAAACACACACTTTACTACACCTTAAAGCACACACACACATACATGTTACACACACTTTGCACTTAAAAATGACCACCCTTGTTCATATGCTAAAGTTATCTCATGCAACTTTAATAATTATATTTGCTTTCCCCCAAATTCTTAAGTGATTTCAAAATCAACTCAATACTATTTTCATACACAAAATTATATCTAATAAATAATTTCACATAATTGTAATTAGTCCACATAATTATGCTAATATGTATGCAATGCATGGTTGGGTCTCACAGTTTAATTGTTTGTCTTAATCTTTTTGCAGCTCAGATAATTTTGATCTGATTATACTAATTAGAATTTTATTTTTTTTACAACTATAAAACTCTCACATGTCATATAAGGGGCTATTTGATAACAAACACTTAATAAATTAACCTCGTTTGATAACCTAAAACCCATACTATTTAATATTTTAAACATTTCTTAAACATAAACTAAAATTTTAAGTAGTAAGACACGTATTTACAACTATATGCTGAAAAATGTTAGTTAGTAAGAATTTTTTCAATTTCTCATAATGGACAAATATACCCTCACCACCATTGTATCATCGCCACCACCACCACCACCACCACCACCGTCGTCACTATTACCACCACTACCATTGTGCCACCGTTACTATTACTATCGCTGCCATGACTACCATTGTCGCCACTGCCATCATCACCACCACCATCGCGACCACAACCACTATATTGTGTTGCCGCCACAACTCCTATCATTGCTACCACTGCCACCATCATTGCCGCCACCCACATCCGTCACCTCCACCACCATTGTGTTATCGTCACCACCACTACCCTTATGTCGTCGCCGTCGCCACCGCCAATGTGTTGCAACCACCACTGCTATCATCGCTGTCACCATTATCACCACCATTTGTGATGATGGTGAAATGAATAAGACAGTTGCAGAGAGATGATTAAAGAAAATAACAAAAGTAGAATAATAATAATTTTTAAACTTCAGCTTCTTATAATTGTTAAACAATTTGATTAAATTTAATACTTAAATTTTAGTTGATACCAAAAGTCTGTGAATTAAAAAATTTAGCATTCAACAATCAATTTTCAATGTTCAACTTTCAGTTTTATCAAACACCACCTAACTTTCTATTGTACTATTATTATTTTTTATTTCCCCTATGTTGTTTTTGTTATTATTTACTCAATAAAACAGATAAAACTACATGTTATGTAATTATTTATTCTATAACACTAATTCAAAACTTTTATAAATCTAATGACATGTATTTTCTACTTGTTTCTTAATACGTAAATAACACTTGAAGTAAATAAAAAATAGCACATTGACTATAAATATCAAATAATATTCAACACGAAATGAATCTTACATTTTATATTAATATATAATTTTATCAAAAAATGACATTTTATTTTTTTCTAATTTATATTAAATTTTGTCAAATTAATGTCAAATTAATTTTTATTGTTATCAAATTAATATTGAAATTAATTTAATCAATTTTTTGGAATACTAAATTATATCAATTTTTTTGGTACTAAATTATATCAATTTTTAATTTTTGTTGGTACTAGATTTGGAGAAAGACAATTGTAAAAATAATAAAAAATTTTGGAAAGAAATTATTAATTTCTGTTAGCAACACTGACTAAAGGGAGACATAGGAAGTCTTTGTCCAATGAATTTCAAACCTTAGAGGGTCTCCATGTTATTTATAAAATACCAGGAGGTGTCTGTATAATATTACCAAAACTTAAGGGGGTGATCGTGATTTTTACCCTATTTTTAATTAAATATTATTTTTTTATTATTTTATCTTAAAAATTTGAATTATCGTATTTCTAATAAAAATAATTATTGGTTAGGAGAGTTTGTTGATAATAAAAAAAGAAATGTATGTGAGTATGTTTTTGTGTATATTTATATATGGAGGATTAGACATTTAGTGATTAAATTTATGGGGTTAAATAGTGATAGTGATGATAAATTCATGAGTTTTATAAATGACGATGATTTAGTTGATCTTATTTATCATTTAAAGATTGTGAATTAATTTTGGTCTGGTAGTATTTTTTTT